TGTGACATCCTACTGAATCGAGTCGTTGCATAGAGTCGAGTCGAGTCGGGCCGAACTAGAACCCGGTTCGAGCCATTTAACGCCAGACTGTGGTAGAATGGGATGTAACTTAAAAAAAGTAAGAGAAGTGGATTTACTTGCATAAAACAAAAAGATTAAGGTATAAGGAGTAGGACTTACTTGCACTAAAATAGTAAGTTGAGGTATTAAAATGTAACATGTAGAAAATGTAGGTATTATTTGGTAATTGTACCATACAAAAAGCAGATAGTTGGGAAATATTACTGAGACTTTCCATTTCAGTTTGCTTTCTTCATCTTCCTCTTCAACGTATCTTCTTCATCTCATCTTCCTCTTTATCTCCTTCATCTTTCTCTTCATCTCCTTCTTTTCTCCATTAATTTTCATGTGATTTAAGACATAAATTCAACACTTTAGAACTCTATCCAAGTAAGTAGCTTTCTTAAAGTTCGATACTTTTGTGATATTTTAGATGATTTATAAAGAGTTTATTATATGTTAGGAAGAGGGGAGCTCAAAGTAGGAGGAAAGGAAGTTAAGAAGAAGCTTTAAAGCTCTTTTGGTTGAAGGTTTGATATTTTCTTTTAGTTTTTTTCACATTTTCTTGCATTGCAATATTGTTTGTAGTGTTGTTGATAATGGAAAAACATTATATTACTGAATGTTGAATGAGGTCTGTAAATCGGTGATAATGGCATGGGATGAATTGAATGCAATGAAAGTTAGGATATTAATTTCATGCTGAACAAGTTTGTCTGGACACTGACCAGTAAACTTCACCCCCCTCCATGATTTGACTCTGTTTAACGATGGAATTAGGAAGTGGTATAGAATTAGTTATTTGTTCTTCTATGTTTTAGCTGTCATGAGTAGTTTTGAATTCACCTAATTGGAGTTATTAAATTGAGAGTATGACCAAAAAGTACAGGGACTGTGCAGGCTGGAAAATCAACAGTCTGGACAGACTGGAAAGTTTTCTCATTTCGCGTAAATATTTGACTACCTTACAACGTATTAAGAGATGTTGATAGAAGACAAATTTGTTAAGCCTAAAGTGTATATCTAACCATAGAAATGTAGAATCACCTAAATTGCAGAGTTATAAGATTTGAGAGATGTCACCAAAATAGTATACCTGTAGCAGGCTGGAACCAAAATAGTATAACCTGTGCAGGCTGGAAACCAATAGCTGGGCAGACTGGCAGTTGCTACTTGAGCTCAATATTTGACTACCTTACCAACATAATTAAGTGATGTGGTAGAAGACAAATTTGTAGCCTAATGTGTTATATAACCATAGAATATAGAATCACCTAAATTGGAGGTATAAATTGAGAGATATGACCACAATAGTACAAACTATGCAGGCTGGAAACCAATAGCTGGGCAGACTGGCAGTTGCTACTTGAGCTCAATATTTGACTACCTTACCAACGTAATTCAAAGATGTGATAGAAGACAACAATGTGTTAGCTAACAATAGAATTTAGAATTACTGCAATTGGACTTCTGAATATAGAGTTATGCTAGAATTAGAATTTGTGAAACATGTGCAGGCTGCCCTGTCAGATTTCAAGGTTACATTAGAAATGATGTTGGGATGTATATGTAGCTTCATGTAGCCTAAGATTTACCACTGAATTTGAACCTTCTGAGTTGAGTTAAATTAACAGCAATAAATTCCTTAAACTGACCAGTAGAAATTAAGTTATCTAAGGATTGGTACAAGTTGCCTCACGGGTGCATCAATTAGATTTCCATGCAAATTATCACTTGTGTGCTTTTACTTCGATTTATCTATGCTATCCTCTTAAAGCATGAAAGAATGAGACAGCAAACAGGTAAACAACATGGGTTATGAATTTGATGAAGAATTGAATATGCTTTTGTTTTGTATTCTTGAAATACCGATAATATGCTCCATGGAGGTTAGGCAGAAACCATGTAGATAAGACTATGCCGCGACATAGGATAGCAGATCTGCGCTCCATACAGTTTGGTACTCCGGCTACAGGCCGTTAGTTTGTACTCCCGATGCTACAGGCCGTTGAGTGGATGGTCGTTGAGTGGATATGATTATATATGGGCCATATCAGCCCAGCCATCCAGTATTCATCCAGTTTCATACAGTATTCATACAGTTCTTCTTATTTCTTCGGTTTCACTGTAACCTTATGGAGCCATACAGTTCGGAGATTATATTATTTCTCAATTATATGATGTAAAAATTTCATAAGTCATACAGCATAATGAACAGTAAGTAAACTACTGAAAAGCTAATGCAATATGTGCTTATATGTTATTTATACATTGATATCATGAAAGTATAATGATATGTGTGCTTGCATGTTTATTTATAAGTTGAGATATCCACTGAGCTTTATTTGCTCAGCGAGTCTCAGCGAGTTACTTTATTTAACTCGTTAAGGTTTTGGGTCTGGACCGTAGAAGAATCATCTTACAACTGCTTAGCAGTTCATCTTTTGAAGATCCAGTCTTCAAGGGTAGCCTACTCATTTTTGATAATTTTTATTCTTCTGTCTATATTATCAATGGGCATGTACAAGGGCTTATATAGTTGGGGCCCATTTTCATTTTGGCACTAGTAATAATGTCCGGTGTAAATATTGAAAGCACAGTAACTAAATGGTAGAAAGCATAGCAGCACTGATTAGTATAGTCAGTATACATTATGATGATCAAGCAATGACAGGACATAGAGTAACCAGATTGTAGCGTCTCGAGCTCGGTTCATTTCGGTTTAAGCAGGGTGGACCGGAAAGGGTATGTTACAGATTTATATTCATGTTTATAAAAGCAGCTAATTCAGAGGGATTTTATATTGTATGTGTAAAACCAAGACTTCAACTAATTTTAAATCATACTAACAATGAATCCCTAATTATTTTTATAAGTGCTAGTTAGCTCGGAAATAGCTCCAAATATGCACTTAATTGCACCTAATAAAATTCCAAATTCTATCCTTTAAAATCTATGATTAAATCCTCCTAAAATCTCCAACTAAATCACAAACTTCAACCTAAAATTTTCAAGTCCCACAATTAATTATCTATTAGGAATCAACTAAATTACCCAATAAATTAAGCTTGGAATTTATATTAAAAATTAAAATAAATTGGGTCTTAGAACATACTGATCGAAAATTGAACGACATTTCCACTATCCACGCTAGGAGATGAAAATTCTGTCCTTTAGTACCTCGCCGGAGGCTCGTCGGCCGGTCGCCGGACCGCCACTGTCGCCGCCGTTCACAGTGGCCGGAAAGTCGATTTTATTAAGGAAAGTATCTGTATTTATCTCTACCATAATTAGATAGTAGACTGATTTGCAAAGTATATCAATTACTCTTGTAAATAGCTTAATGATAGGCTGTAGTTTAGGAGTTAATTACGTTATTTATCTGTATAAATTGAGGTGTGCTGTAGTTTAGGAGTTAATTACGTTATTTATCTGTATAAATTGAGGTGTGCAGATTAATGAAATTATATCTTTCCACCAACATCTTCTTCATCCTTTTTTAGATTGCCCAGAATTTTGCAAGGACACCACCACTCCAATCAAATTTCGCTAATGGTTCCATTTCTGATGTCAATTAAGCGAGATGGGACCTCTAACTGGCCGGATTGGACTTGACAGGTGCTTGGAGCTTCCGTCCATGGCGGATTCCCTTTCTGAGCTCCATTGCCATGATTGATGGAGGAGAAACCATCGCATTGAGGAGATGAAGCGATCGGCGCCCCCCTTTCACCCTGCAATCACCGGCAACGGCGTGAATCGCTGGAAGTTGATGAACGCCAACTGTCAAGAAAGAACGGCTCCATTTCGCGCCAATGGAAGCTCTTTCCGCGTGAGAGGAGGCCGGAGACGAGACCCGCAGCACCAGACGAGTAGAACGCCACCTCGCTCTCGTTGAGTGGTGACCGGAAACGGGAGGCGTAGAGAATGCGCGCCCTTTGCTGGCAAAGAAGAAGGGAAAAAAAAAGAAAATGGCTTTCTAGAATTCTCTGGGCCATTTTGGTTTGATTCGAACCGATTTGGCTCAAATAAGAGATTTGACCCGATTTTGCTTAGTTTTCTAGTTTTTCGCTTGGTTTTCGAAAAATTTAGGCTGATTTACAGGTCCGATTTAGTATTAGTAAATTATTTTTCCGTTGATTTCATTGGTTAGGTTTTATGATTATATTTTTAAATGAAAAAGTTTTAAAAAGGATTTTTCGGGTCGTTTTACTTATATATCTTATATCTGATATAATATAATTTATTATTTTATCTATAAAATTTATATTTAAATAAAAAATTTATATCTTAATAATTAAACTAGCTTTATTTTCAATTAATAAAAAATTTTTCAATTAAAAAATTTAAAAATCCTTAAATTTTTTTATATTCTTACATATATATCTTTATATAATATATAATATTAATTTTATTAATTCATTCAATAATTATTATTTAATAATAGAAAATTTAAAATCTTTAATAATTAAATGAGCTTTTAATTTTTCAACTAATAATAACTAAATAATTTTTTATATACGAATTTCCTATTTAGAATTATGATTGAAGCTTTCCTATAAATTGCTAAGAACATAACTTAATAAATAATAAATAAAAATTATTCTATTAATTTGTAAATAGAGAAAGGTAATATTATACTTAAAAACAAGAAAAAACATCGTTACTAAACTCATAATTTTCAATTCAAAGTTTTGATAAATATATAATTTTTTAATAGTTAAGAACTAATAAATTCGTGATAATGCAAATAATTAATAAATTTCTTAAATAGTTTAAACTTAAAAGCCATTAAACCGATGTATACTTGAACGTGATATTTATTTTTTATATTATTATATATATATTATTATATATATTTTTTTTTTTTTAAGGATCGGATAGTTTATATAAATTTTTTTTTTAAGGATAAAACGGAATAGTTGGTTTAGTTTGAGCATAGTAAAAGATTGGCGGTCGTAAAATTGACAGTAGAAGCAGAGGTTTCGGTCCAAAAGCGCGAGTTAGCGGTCCATATTATTATTATTCCTCCTCGTCTTCGCCTCTTCCTCTTCCTCTTCATTTGATGTTTTTTATGGCGTTAAATTTCTCGCTCTTCTGGCTAATTTGCCACCAATTTCTCAATTTCCATTGAGACCCACTTCAATTTACCTATATCAAGTTTTTTTTTAAAAAATTAATTTCCTTAAATGATTATGATGGAGGAGGGATCGCAGAGGGCATTGATGAGGAACTTGCAGAAGGAGCAAGAGAGAGAACGGCGTCGTATTAGGGATAGGCAAAGAAGACAATCTATGAGTGTTGAAGAGAGGGAAAAGCATCTCGCTAGACGGCGTAGAAACTACCAACTCCGTCGTCAGAGAGCTGAAAATGCCCGCTTAGACCCTCGATTCAACCAGAAAACAGCCGCTGTCACCAGCACCATTATCACCAATTCCGTCTCCCCTATCAAAATTGAGGAATACGCACCAATATTTTCCGTCTCAAATGTTAATGTTAGTGCCCAATGCAACACTGGTCTCATTTCAGGGCACAGTAATTGTATAGGTGAGTTTTTCTTTCTTTCTTTTGATTTTCCCTACTCTTTTTTCTCAATAGAATATCTACAGATGATTGATAGTTATTTATTTAATTTGATTTAATCATTATTTAGGTTTGGAAATTCCTGCCAATAAATTAGCAATAGTACCTAGAAGATTGCGTTTAAACCATTTGAAACATCTGGCGAGATCACTTGATGATCCTGTGGGTATTTCTAATAATAATCACAGCATTTCTGTAGATTTGATCATTAAAGGAAACGAAAATGCAAATTCCAGTTGTAAGTTTTTCCTTTATATTTATGAATTATATTATAAGCACATAAGTTTCTTTTAACTTTTTGTGCTGGTTTTAATACAAAGCTTATACGTTCGAGACTCTGGTTCAGGTGTGCCTTTAAAAGGGTTAAGATTAAATCGTGTTAAACGGCTTGCCCGGTCATTAAATTCTGATTTAGAGAAGGGTACAAGTGAAAATCATCAAACCATAATGGAAGGTATGAATTGTGTATATGTGGGTATTTTTTTTAAAGGAAAAATATAATTTGGTCTCTGTTTCTAAAAACTAACTATGAAGTTATAAATCATGACTCTATTAATACTTTGGTTCTTCCGTCCAAAATATTATTAATGGAGAAAAGATGAAATTGATCTTGTAACAAAAAAAAAAAAAAAAAAAAAAAAAAAAAAAAAAAAAAAAAAAAAAAAAAAAAAATGAAATTGGATCTTGTAAACAAAAAAAAAAAAAAAAAAAAAAAAAAAAAAAAAAAAACAAAAAAAAAAAAACAAAAAAGGTGTCTTAAGTGGAAAAAAAAAAAAAAAAAAAAAAAAAAAAAAAAAAAAAACAAAAAAAAAAACAAAAAGTGTCTTTAAGGTGGAAAAATATAAAATTGGTTCCTAGATTATAGTCCAGCTAAGTATGAGAACTCTAACTTATGATTATGTTGACATGTTACTACCTTTTGGACGAAATGACCAAAGTGTTGATAGAACCATAATTTAGGGATCTCTTAGTTAAATTTTTTAAAAACAAAGATCCTCATGTGTTAATTTGATTTTGTTTTTTTCACTTTTTTAATTATTCAATTTGGATTGAAGTCTGATCCTTTATCATAGTGGGCAGGAATCTGCCGACCCGAGAACTTCAGCCTCAACTGCTGAGTATGAGTAACAGTCTGTCTAAAGTTGATCAACCTTACAGTGTTAGATGTGGAAATGAATGATTCTGCTCCATTGATGGTAACAATTATGGACACTTGATTTAATCTGAAAACTGGCTGCTGCATATGTACATGAAGAATTATGGTTAGAATGTTTGATGTGGTTCTTTGTGCTTTGTTCTCAGAATGTGCTTCCCTTCTAAGCTATTGGAGGAAGATGAGGATTGAAATTCACTAAGCTCCTTGTCATTTTATCTCGATTAAATACACGTGAGTTTCATTTCCAATGATGCTTTTACCATCGTAGTATATACTATGTTTTATTAACTTGAACACTGAATCATTGGTTTGTTTGTTACGCCTTTGCTGGAGGTTATTAAGACTTGGTGCAAAAAGGTTTAACTTTGTTTTCTAATTGTTGAATTATCAGAGATTAGGTTTTTGGGAGAAATTAATTCTCTGTTTCTTATGTATTTGTGATTTACATGTAGGTGTACGTATACACATAAACCTACAACTATATAGAAAGTTTGTGATAAAGGAAATAAATCATGTAAGAACATATAAGTCAACGCTATCTCTCAAGTTGGTGCATAGGTATTGCACATTCCCAACTTGCAAACCAAATTGTGGAATTGTTTGCTATTAAGTCCTTTAGTAAGAACATCTGCAATCTGATTATCCGAAGTTTCACGAGTAAGCTTCAAAATACCCTGGATGGTTTTTTCTTTGATGAAATGTCTATCAATCTCTATATGCTTTGTCCGATCATATTAAACAGGATTTTGAGCAATACTAATGGCTAGGGATGAAAGTTAGACGGGTATCCGCTCTACTCCAATCCGTTTAATGAGGGTACGGATAGTTATCAATGAGTTTGAGATGGATACGGGTAGTGAAATTACTACCTACAACGGATACGGGTAGGGTACGAGTATTAGACTTTGGGTACCCAATACTAATCGCTACGGATGAAAGTTAGACGGGTATCCGCTCCACTCTGATCCGTTTAATGAGGGTACGGATAGTTATAAATGAGTTTGAGATGGATACGGGTAGTGAATTAAGCGGATACGGGTAGTGATATTGGTATTTAAATGTTGGGTACGTTCGTTATTACAGACATATACATAAACGATTTTACAAGGAGTTTATCGTGGTACCTACCCATGTTATTAGATGAATAAATAATTTAACAAAAATTGTTGATTAGATGAATTTAAAATTGTGCAGATGAGTATCCTTTTAAGGGCTACTTTAAATGTTTGGGACTGATAGGATAGGTAAATTTTAAACGGGTTTTGAATATGGGGTAATTTAGATGGGATATTTAGAATTGAATTTGGTGACGGATATGGGTGATATAAATTTTAAATCGGATTATGAGTTTGGTGTTCAAAATTTCGAGGTATGCGCTGCCGTTTATCCTACTTAATGGGCAACCTTGTTTATCACATGATACAAAGTCGACACTTCTCCTTTCGGATTCAACAATCCTCCATTGTCTTCGCTTAGCCATAAGAATTTGCAAACCCTTTTGAGCCATAGTTCTATTATTCAGATTTATGGATCTCGAATTGTGTCTACAGTGCTATTTATTTCCAGTAATAGGTCTCTCTAACAAAGGTAAATTACGAGAAGTTTGATCTCTATTTATTTGTGAAGGATCTAGCCTAGTCTAACATTAGTGAAAGGCTTTATGTTTTCGAGGTGAACATGGTTTAGAGAAAAGTGACGTCTTCCTAGAGGCAGACTTTAGGAATATCTGTAATGCGAAAGGCAAATTCCACGTTGTAGACTATAAGGATACTGCATATTGGTAATAGACTTAGAGTATAAATGTATTGCACAGTTGATGCATGTTGAAGATAATCAATGTTGTCGATCATAATCTCTAATATTGAATACAGTCAATAACGGTGCTCCATTTGTGCTTGTAACTTTGTGATTTTAGACTTCGGATGGTAGAGGTCATGCTGGTTACACAACTCAAGCATGCTAGTTTCTTTCAAGGAGATTCAGGATATTTCCTTTGAGAAAGAGATACCCTTATTGATAGAACTTTGTACTCAAAAAGTATCTTAGAACTTTTCCAAGTCCTTAATCCAAATTTTTTGTACCACAATCTTTTTAGCGAGCAAGTTTCCTCTCATTCTCCAGTCACAGCATATCATTAACATGGATCCATTAGTAAGTGATCTTACATATAGTGTTGATGAAAGAGGTATGATTATGTTTTACTTTTGGAGAAATCCAAGAGAATTATGGCTTTACTGAATTTAATAACATACTCTGGTGACTGAGTGCCATAAACCCTTTCCTTCTTCATTGCGATAGTTACCTTTGGTTTTCTCATCACAAAAGTGGGGAATATCATGATACATCTCTTCTTCTAGATTCACTCATCAAAAAACATTTTTTGCATCAAATTGATGAAGATTCTAATGCAGGTTGTTGCATAGGAAACATGACTCTTAATTATGTATCATCCTTTTGCATATGGACCAAAGTATTCGTTATGTTCACTCTATATAGTCTGAAGTAAATCTTTTGCTGCTATTTGGTTTATATTTTCAAATTGTGCCATTTGGCCTGTGATTTTATTGAACTACCATTTGCATCCTGTTTTCATCCTATGGGAGTACAAGTCAGTTTCATTTTGTTGCCGAACTTCTCAATCTCTCTGCGCAATTGATCTTTCCATTATTGGATCTTGATATGCTTCTTGATATTTTGTGGAATGAAGAAAGAAAGACAATTAAAAGACTTCTAAGGAAGGAGATAAAGAACATAAGAAAAAGAATTGGATATAGGGATGTTTGGTGATTTTAAACTCTTTTTTATGAGCAATGAATGATCAAATACTCAAGACAGGTCAAGGTTAGGATATTAGTAAGAATTCTAGAATTTAATCAGGAGTTATAGAGACTCAACAATGGTTTTTCAGGAGTCTGATTGCAGAGAGTGAGGTTGATTCAGGTGTACTATGCGTGATGGTATTAACTTCTCTCTTCGATGTGCTCTTAAAGTCCGGCATTGGTCAATGTTATCCTTTTTTTTGTTCCATTGGCTCATGTACTGAGGTGTGTTAGATTCGTCGAAATTGTTCAGAAACAGTATTACAACGTAGGAGCTAGAGCTTTCCCTCTTCTGATCCTAATACTTGCTTTGAAGGTAGCTAGGAAGAAGAATAAGCTAAATCTCTAAAGGCAATCATACTCCACAAAGATTTTTGGATGGAGAAGTGATAATCTTATAAACCTTTGAGTAGTAATATGATACCAACAATTACAGCATTTTCAAAGTCTTAGGTTCTAACTTGCTCATGCGTAGGATGAACAAAACGATACAAAAAATATTTTGGAGGAAAAGTATATTGAGGTTATGTACCTGTGAGGTGGTATAGGGCTTTTAAGGTTTAGGTGGGTTTCTAGAGGATCTATTATTGAGATATAGCTCAAGTAAGCTCTAGAACTTTCTGGTGGTATTGGGCCATTGCTCGTGGATGGTGCCGAATTTGGGGTAATGGTCGGCAGTAAGCTCATCCCGTAGAGGGGGCGTGAAACTCAGTCTCTCATGCCTAAGGGTGCAATAGGCGACCTACTAGGGTTTTTCCTCTCTCTACTGATTTTTCTGCTCTTTTCGTAACTGAAAAAAAGGTAGAATAAGCTTCCTGAATATCCATGTTGATATTGAATCAAGGTTAGGTTATTTTGGGATGAAATTGTTCTATTTCTTATGATTTTGTGACTTACATCTTTGGATAAATATACGCGCAAAAACCTAGTATATTACTCATAAACCTACAGATATGTGAGAAGTCTAGCAATAGAGAAATAAATCATATAAAAAAAAAAGTAAAATCAATTGTGCAAAGGGTATACTGGTATTATGATGTTTATATAAAGACGGTAGGGGAGGATGGTATTTAAAAACTTGGATTATAAATTGATAAATAACTTTTTGATACCACATATCTTATATGGAGGCAGGATTGAGATATTTGGACCCATTTATTATATTGATGAGGTGTAAAAATAAAAGATATACAGAAGTTTCCTTTATATCTGAATTGTTTCTTTTGGAAAATTTTGTACTCATATGATTCAATTTAAGATGCTTTCATAAAACTCTCAGTGTGCAAATAACATATAATCATTTTATAAATCAATTTTTTTTACTTTTCTATGAAAATATTGTACATATGAAGGTAAGATTTTGTTTTTTTTTTTACCTGCTTAATTTCTTTAAAATTACTTTAGGAAACCATATTTTAAGAAACTAAAAAACTAGCTTTTCTCAACCTATGATTTGGTGCTTTAAGATATTACAAACACAGTTTGCAAAAGAGAGCCTAAAAAATGGCGAAGACAGAAAATATTGGCATGCTTTAACTAGTGCACTGTACATAATAAATGAATATTTGAGAATTTTTATGTAATTTAAGTTAAATGATAATATAATAAATTTTTAATAATTGATTATTTTAATGTAGAAAATTGGAGATCCTGGGATGCATTAATAATAGATCAGAGTAAATCTAGAATCACATAGCAAGTGTTAACAAGAAGTAATTTTGTTTTGAATGTGCAGTTCAAGAATTGTGGTAGATGCTTTTTTGATCAACTGTAAATTATTTTGTGGGGGTGGGGGCGTCTTTGCTTACAATACATAAGAACTAATGTAGCAAGTATATGGCAAATACATATAAGAACATAAAGTAATTCGATGATAGAGAGACACCACTGTTTGGTGTGCCATTGGGTTTCAAATGCTGCTTGGCAGATAGCCAGCTTCTGTTCGGATAGTTTCTGCACTTAGCATTATTGAATAATACTTGATTGGGTGGCAAAAGGATATTGTGTTTTTCTGTCCTTGCAAGTGACTCAAATTTGGGTATAGTGGTTAATATTGTAATAGAAGCACATAGAATGCAGTGGAGATTATGTTGAAGGAATATGAGTAGATAACTCATTAATATAGAGAGATGGCGGATGAGATGTTTTTTCAGACCTTTAGCTTGATCATAGTTGTTAAAAAAAAGTTCGTTCCTGGTAACAAAGTAAGTTAAGAGTTTGTCAAGCTTTCTTGTTTCAGGCATTATATTGGTACTGCGCAACAAGTAAGCTAAACATGTTTATGGTGTCATATTTAGATAGTAAGTATTGTCATGATTTAATTGTAATCAGAGTTTATTTATCTTGATAACAATTGGTAGATTCCTTTAAAGAGAAGGGAGTATCTTGGAGAGAGCAAATTTTTTCATAAAAT